TTGTTATATTTCTAAATAAAAAAATGAAAACACATTGTTCGTTGGTATAACGCTCCATTTTATTAACCCTAAACTATCAGCTGATAAATTGACAAATAAAAAAGAAACAAAAGAAGAAAGAACTTTGTATTGTATTTAATTTAAATCTTGTGTTGATTTAGGAATACCCCATTTATATATATATATATATTAATATATATGAACTCACGGGTGTATACAGCATGGAGTTTCAGTTAAAGCTCAAAAACATACAACGGTGAACAATCAAATATTCAATATTTATAAAATACTTCTAAGGAATAAAAGGGAAAAATAGCGCTATGTTTTGTTTTGTTTTTTTTATGTCCTTGTATTAAGCTCCCCTAACCTTTTCTTTTTTTTCGGCTATAAAGATAAATTCTGGGAAACTAATACTCGTATTTTGTCGTCGTAAAGTACAGAAACTCAGGCCCAATCCGGGCGACCATTTTCTTTTCAATCATAAGGCTGCATTACTGCGGAGTGGGAAATAAGTGAAAAGGCAATAACTCAGGAAGAGCGATCGATGGAAGAGCGGGCTCTATATGTCGCAGGGAGGAAGTTTGGGGGGGAGGGGATGTAATTTTGGTAAAAAGTGGGGGGTATCTGTCATGGGAGTGGGGGGTCGTAAAGGTGAGTTCCTTGGTCCACAGATCCCTCACCTGTACGGTATACCTCTAGCTTCTTCTTTTCTTCTTCAAAAATATAAATCGGTCACTAAACGTCAGTCAGAATGACATTCCGAGGTATTATTAACAATCTGATTGATCACGTATGGTTAAAATATATGTAATGTTTGTTTGTTTCGATGCCTAGGCGCAAAACATCCAGGCCATAAGCGCCCGATCAACTAAACAACACCACTTAATACAATTTGGATGGTTGGTACAAAAAATAAAAATAAAAAAAAGGATAAAAAAAATAAAGAAATGGATTGATAGAATAAAATAAATAAATAAAGATAATAATAGACACTTATAGATAATAAGATAGAGTAGATAAATAAATAAATATTAAAAAAATAGCAATAAAATCAATTAATGAATTGAGATCAATAAACAAATGAATTTGAAATGAAATTAAACAAATGAAAATAAATAAATAAATAAATAAAAATAAAATAGAATAAAAATAAATAGATAAAAATAATAATAAATCTGCAAAGGATCATTAATTATATGCTTGTCATATGTGTTTTTTAAGTCTTTCACTATCCAGGAATTTGATGACTTTGGTAATGATTTCTTTTTGATTTCTCAGGGATGCTGATATATATTCTGGGGTATTCCGATATCTTTTAATCTCGAGGTGTAAAAAGGGCATTCTTCTAAAATATGTTTTGGACGGATTTTGAGATATTTGGTAATCAATGCCTCAATCACAAGAAGAGGAGGAGAGACTAACCTAATCATTAGGTTCTTTATTTTACTTAAGCCTCATAACCATTGTACATTACTGATTTTCATTTAAAAATAAATAGTTTGTCATATCACTAGATTATATTCTTATAAACGTCCTTCAACTAATTTTTTTTGTTGTTTATAATTTTCAATAATAAACCATTATAATCGAACAAAAAAATTCAAAAACTTAACCCCCTCTCAAAATTTGAGGTTTTACGTTTCAGGGTACACAGAATTCGAAATATGAATAAAAAAAAATTTTGTCAGTCCGCCATCCGCGTATTCGCTCCGAAACTACTGGACCAATTTTTTTTCAAATTTAGATTTAAAATCAGAGGTCACCCGAGGATGATATTCCTTCATCGACATTACTATCTGCCTTTACTTTCAAAATGGCGGCCGAAAAACTTGCGTTGCTATAGACTGTAGTGCCTAAACGAATGTACCGATTTCAATGAAACTTGGCTAAAGTCTTCTTCTTGATGTCCTTTAAATTTATCTACATTACATACTTCAACAAAAAGAAGCTGGAAAAAAGTTAGGAGGGAGGGTAAAATAAGATTCCGAATAACTCAAAAAGTATACACTGGTTTTTTAAAAGTTTACGAAATTTCCTTTTAAAAACCGTTAAAATCGGACAATTAGGAGCAAAGATATGGTCTCTAGATGTTTTTTATGTTCTACTGCAAATCCTTTGTTTGGGATTTTGATGTTTTTAAGGTGTTACTGAATTAATGCTATTTTTTTTTTAGCAAATAACTAATGAGGCAAAAAAAATGGTTAGTCAAATAATTGGAATTAACTTTTTGTTTATTTTAGTCACAAGAAAGGTAATGTTACTTTAGATGTATCATTGTTTAAAGAAACAATTTATTATTAATAATAGATTATGCACCAGATCTATACCACCTGTTATCTGAACGCCAAGGGAGCTAAATTGGCGTCTGGTACGTGTAGTGTTCATGATAATTGGAGCATTTCTTGTCAGTCTTGTGAATGTCAATCATGATTGATCGTGAAGGGTCTGCTTATAAGGGTCTGGTTAAAGTTTATGTCATTGTATATTTACAATAAACTATAGTAGGGAAGGAATTAAATGAAACTACATGAATAAAATTAATATTAGGTAATTTCTATACTCTTCTCCAAATTTCCTCCAAGTTTGGGTAAAATCGAACGAACCATTTTCAAACTATAGGCGTGACAAATAATATATTTTCTGATCTGAAAGAGGAAGTATTTTTTTGGAAATAGTGAATAGAATTTGGTACATTCTAAATGATCTGTTTACCAATCCCTAACTTCACTCAAAATTTCAGCCAAATCGAACGTGCGATTTTAGAGTTGGGCGCATATATAAGAGACAGTGGAGGACGGAATTGAATAAAATTGATGCTAAATTAATTTCTTAATTAAATTAATTTTTTATTATCACCTCCTTTTTTCCAACTTTGAGCAAAATTGAACGAGCCGTTTTTGAAGCTAAAGTGCTCGATGGATATTGATAAAATTGATACGGGACCATATTAACCAGCACAATCTCTGAACATTTCATGAAAATCGCATAAACGGAAAACTTGCTCAAGATTTTTCTTCGGTAAATCGAGGCGGTCTCATGTGTCCCACCTTTACAAAGAGTTAAAGTGGCTCTTCCCTTCTTTCCGCAGACAATATTTCCTTGGATCTTTCCTTTTCCAAATGATCAACACCCGACACCCTTCCTACATCTACAGTCTCCTACAGTTCAAACCGTGGTCCACTCCCAGAAAATAAGATCCCGTATTTCCGACCTTTATATCCCTTCCCATAGAACCAAGACATTTAAATATTCCTTTATTGCCCGATCCACTGCCTTCTGGAATTCTTTGCCATCTGATATCCGCCATGCATCTTCCTTGTCCTCATTTAAATATCATCTATACCAATTCCTTCCCAAAATGATGTTATGCAATGAAATAAATATTGCGAAACAGATTTTGACTGAGGTGAATGGTTGTTAAAATTGATTGAGTTTTAATTTTAAAAACTAACAAATGCTTACATTATTTTATTTTGTTTTTCATTTAAATAATTTTTTTTCTTTTTCAAACTGGTGTTATTTTTACTAGTTTTAATATACTTTTACTTAGATACTGTATATTTTCTTTAATATTGATTAATGTAATTTTTGGACAGATGTAGTTTTTATTTTTTCGTTCATAACTGTTATTCATAAGAGACCTCGTCCCAGAATAAAGTTTACTTTCTATTTAAACGGTAATAGGTGATATGCCCGTTACTTCGATTTGACTACAGACAGACAGAAAGACATAAATCGAGCCAAATTTGATACTTGATGTCTGAAACGTAAAACACGAGTGAAAATTTTCGATTCTGAGCACAAAATTTCTTTTAACCTCTCGCACGAATACAAAGCTTACCTACCTTCGGTAGTGAGGAAGAAACAGCTTATCGACCATACCACTTTACCAAACTATTATGTTTAGGTACTCACTCGATGCAAAATTTAACGTAAGTTTTTCAAGAGTACGTTTACCATTTAGACGCATCATTTAGGAGTTATAGGTAAAAAATCAAACGAATAATAAATAAAAATCTGGCTTCTTGACTGTTAAAAAAATTCTTTTGGTAGGCCGCGTAGTAATTTTATTTTTTACATGTTTAAACCCATATATTCAGGTAAAAAAAAAATATTTGCCACATTTTTGCAATAATTTTCGAACCTCAAGTTATTGGCCTAATATTCTTTAAATCAGCCGACATTTATTCAGGTATGATTCGACTGGCAGAATATCATTTTTTAAAAATATAAATGCTATGAATATTCAAAAAAATAGTTTCTAAATTTTCTTCAGATAATGTCAATGTTCTCGGACTGAAATTCTTCAGTTAGAAATCAGAAAAATTTGAAAATATATATGGGAAGAGTGAAATACTGTCATGTCATATAAATAATAACAAATTTTCTTGTTTCTCGATTAAATTACATAAATACATCTAGTAAATTTGGACATAATGATATAATGACATGAAAACACTTGCTGAGTAACTACCCAATGGTAGCACTCTAATGATATGACTACATTAGGAGATCACGGGGCCATCTTCTTTTCAGACGCCTCGGAGGGTTATCAGGAATTGAAGAGGAAGCAAGGTTAGAAACGAGAGGGTTGGGATGATTCTGAAGTTTATTATGGAAGGATAGGTATCTGGATTGGGCCAGATCTGAAACATAAGGAACATTAAGGTCATTATGGATGATTTTATTTGTGACAAAGTAAGGAGCATTGAGGATTTTACGAAGGATTTTGGATTGTAAGGATTGGATACGAGAGGAATTCGATGGTTTAGTGGAGCCCCATAGCTCAACTCCGTAAGTCCAAATAGGCCTTATTATAGTCAAGTATATGAGTCTTTTGTAATTAATTGGAAGTTTAGAGCGTTTGTCTAGTAAGTGCTGAAGTAATCGGAAACGTCGAGCGGTTTCTTGTCAGTACATAAAGTACTTAAAAATATAATATTTTAGTTTATGTAAACTGATAAAGTAGATGTGCTTGGAAACTAATAAATTTACTAATTATTTTTTTAGCTTAGTTCGCTCTACTATAATGCCCATCAACCATGACGTATTGATAGACTTGAGAACAGGATATGGCTGATTTCACTGTCAGAGGCAGTAACGTATTCAGGTAATTCAGGTGTACCCGTATACCTGGAGTTTACCTGTTGATTGGCTTCCAGCAACAGGTAAACTCTCTCACCACTTCCCTGCCCGCTAGGATTTAGGTTTGAGATTGCTTTGATCTGGTATTTTCTTTTCATTTTTGCAGTATTTGCTTTATATTTGAAAGTATCAATTATTTAATCAAAATAATGATAAGTTTCTATAAATCAAACCCATATACTCATAAAGGAAGAAGATGATCCGGGGTGGCGGTCATAAATAAACTAAATAGTGGCAAAACTATTTTATTAAAAGCCTGCATCACGACGTTTTATTTTTACTACTTACCTCCTCAACATTCCCCAACCAGGTCAGCAAATTTCCCCAATACTTACTCTGGTTTTCCAGTTCTATGTGAATCTCCTAACTGAACACACCTGTAAGTCTCTATTTTTATTCTTCTAATTTTATTTGCTTATTTTTTGTTTTTCTTCTTCTTTTGTTTTTTCTTTCTCCACATCCCTTTATGTCTATTATTTCTTATTGTATCCTTTCCATTTTCTTCTAATCTCTCCTGTAGATCTGTAGGAGTATATTCGCAATTGCATACATTATATTTTATATTATAATAAAACGATCGTTACCATCTATTTACCATAGGATCTTGTTACATAGCTTACTCTGTTTATACAACTTATTGTTCCTAATATTTTAATGTACTTACTGTTTATAATTTTAATTAGTTTATTCATGTGTATGATCATCCTTTTTCACTTTGTATTCATTTTACTTTTTAACCATGTCTCAATATTATCTAATTATTATTCAAATGTAATTTTCTTACATATGTACAACCAAATATAATTAATAATTATTCATTTTTTTCCCCTCTCTATACTTTTAAGTTTTCACTTTTTCCTTGTATCCATCCATATCTTCAAATATTAGATACTGTAATTTTCTAGGTTATTCCTCATTCCCCAAACAAGACAGTTTCCCCTATACCTGCCCTTACCCTGGTTTTCAAGTTCTAAGTGAAACTCCTAACTGAACACATCTGTAAGTCTCTAATTTTATTCTTCTAATTTTATTTACTTACTTTTTTTTTTTTTTTGGTTTTCTTTCTCCACATTCCTTTATGTCTATTATTTCATATTATATCCTTTTTCCTTTTCTTTCACTCTCTCCGGTAGATCTGTAGAAGTATATTCACATTTGTATTTATTTTATATTACACTACAATAATTGTTAGCATCTATTTACTTCAGTTTAGGATCTTGTTACTTAGCTTACTCTGCTCATATTTTAATGTACTTACTGTTTACAATTTTAATAAGCTTATTCAAATTGTTTATAATTTTTGTCTAATTATTATGTAACTTCCACAATTCTCTATATCTTTTGTATTTTGTCCGTTCTAGCCCTGAAGAAGACCTAACAAAGTCGGGTAGAATCGTTGGCTTTTAATAAATTAATTTTGCCACTATTTAATCTATTTATGACCGTCACCCCGGACCATCTCCTTCCTTAATAATCCCACGTTCAACTATTAAATATTCTCTATACTTATAGTGTCATTTTATTAAGTATTCCGATTTTTAGTTTTTGAGATGAGCTATGGGGCTCCACCAAACCTTCAAATGTCTCTCGTATCCAATCCAAAATCCTTCATAAAATCGTCAATGCTCCTTATTTTATTACAAATAAAATTATCAATAATAACCTTAATGTTCCTTATATTTCGGATTTGGCCCAATCCAGATATCTATCCTTCAATAATAAACTTCGTAACCATGCCAACCCTCTTGTTTCTAACCTTGCCTGCTATTCAATTCCTGATAACCCTCCGAGGCGTCTGAAAAGAAGATGGCCCCGTGATTTCCTAATATAGACATATTATTAGAGTGCTACCAATGGATAGTTTCTCAACATGTGTTTTCACGTCATTATATCCATATGTTCTAATTTACTACATATGGACATATCATTATATTACACGAATATATATGAATTTTTTTTTATACAGTTGAAAATATCATATATATATAATAATAAAAAAAAAAAGTTTTTGAGATATTTTAATGAATATCTTCAATAGAATTCATTAAAATGGCGTCGCGTTAAGATATAATTTTGGATAATAACCCATCACAGAGAGGATGAAATTATGAACATTTCCCACGCTAACAATACGCAGGTCCGATTTTTAGTTTCTGAGATATTTTAATATGCAAAAACACTACAATTGTTCAACTCCAGCCAACTTTATTCGAGCGTTACATTTTTTTTCACTTAAAAAAAAACATGAAATTTATCATTCGTTCACACAGTTTCATTTCAAATCAAATTATATTGTTAAGGTTGCATTAAAATCCAGTAGAGACAGAGTTGAATATTCCCATCTCCAGTGCATAAGTCTATTATTTTGAGGAGAAACAAAATGATTTAAAAATTTTCGTTATGACTATGCTGGTACATATTGGATATGAAGATGAGTCAAGTTACTGTCATCGAGTTGCCTTGGAGCCAGTAAAGTTCAAATGGTGCCTTAAGTTCAAACTTAAGGCGATATTGTCTTTTGAAAGCTGTCGATTTTATAGTTGGACCTTCATATCTTTCGGTTCGGGTCGTAAAATATGCAAGCTTTATACTGATCGTTCTGGAGTATAAATTTTGTAGGTTTTTTATTTACGCCACTGTCCTTCGTAATAGTTCTTATATATTTACAATTATTCTTATTTATTGTACCAATAATTAAAACTCATTCAATAAAATATATGTTAACAATTCGATACAAGTATATGAAATTTATATATTAAAATGATATTTCACCAGATATGCCGATGACACATGTATCCTATCAGTCAATAACGATCCATCTATTGCATCCCAAACTCTTCAATCACACATCACAAGTCTTGAAAAATGGTGTCAAAACTGGAGGATTAAAATAAACTCCAATAAATCCCATCAAATTACCTTTACTCTTCGTCGTAAACCTATGACTTCCTGTCCTACAGTACCCTTCAACAATATCCTTCTTACTCCTGTCGAACAAATCCGCTACTTAGGAATCCACCTTGACAAACGACTCACTTGGAACCCCCATACCAGACTGAAACGACTAGAAACCGCCCGACGTTTCCGACTACTCCAGCACTTACTAGACAAACGCTCTAAACTGCCAACTATTTACAAAAGACTCATATATATTACTATAATAAGGCCTATTTGGACTTACGGGATCGAGCTTTGGGGCTCTACTAAACCATCAAATTCTTCTCGTATCCAATCCCTACAATCCAAAATCCTTCGTAAAATCCTTAATGCTCCCTACTTTGTCACAAATAAAATCATCCATAATGACCTTAATGTACCATATGTTTCCGATTTAGCTCAATCCAGATACCTGTCCTTTCATAATAAACTTCTGAACCATCCGAATCCTCTCGTTTCCAACCTTGCTTCTTCTTCTATTCCTGATAACCCTCCGAGGCTTCTAAAAAGAAGATGGCCTCGGGACCGTCTTATATAGAAATATAATTGGAGTGCTACCAATGGGTAGTTTCTCATGTTGTACATGTCATATTACTTGTTCATATCTACTTATTGTATTTATTATTAATTACAGTTGTAAATTTAGTTAATAAAAAAAAAATGATATTTATTAATTTGCCTCGATACAATAGGGTCATTCGTTAACGGTCGGTATATGATGTCAGTATGTAAGGCTGTGTTGCTAATACCATGGTTCTTTTGTTACTATCCTGCATGTTTTTGATTGGAAGATTTGAAATTTTTTTATGTGAGTCTTTTCAGCTGTTCCAAATATCTGTGATGCAGAAGTTCAAATATGTTTTAGTATGTAATTGTATGTGTTAAATTCCTGTTTATTTTAGTATTGAGAGTTTCTTGAAAAGTGAATTTAAAAGTATTAGTCTTTCATTTACTGTTTTTCTTTTTTTAGTGATATGTGGAGTCCACGAGCTTTTTCACGAAAGTCATTACTTCTTGTAAAGATGGAAATAAAGCAAGGGTACTTTCTATAATTTTTTTTTTCCCCTTCAGGAACTACCACGAAGAATTTTCAAAAACAGCTTGGGCGAGAATTGAGTTTTCCTTGGAATGACCATGACTATGGAATTTTAATTAAATCAATTTCTTGTAAATAATATTCTTAAAAAGTAGATATTGTATATAGGTGTGAATGTGTTTTATATATTTCAATTTAATTTAGCTTTTCTCTATTTTTTTTTATTATTATTTTTTTTTTACCAAAGTATGTTAAACTCTTTTTCTTTTATCTCTATTTCAGTTATCATTTGTATGTATATATTGTGTGAATGTTTAATGTAGCCCTAATATTAATGCCCTCTAATGTGGCAGAATGTATTAATTTTCAAATAAAAAAAAAAGAAAAAAAGTTGAAGCCGATTTTGCAACATAGTTTCGATTCAAACAAATTCTAATGATTTATTTTCATTTTTAAATTTTAATTTTTTAAATAAAACACCTCATACCAGACTGAAATGACAAGATGATTACTTCGGCGCTTACTAGACAAACGCTCTAAGCTCCCAGTCAATTACAAAAGACTCATATACATGACTATAATAAGGCCTATTTGGACTTACGGAGTTGAGCTATGGATGTCCACTAAGCCATCGAATTCCACTCATATCCGATTCTTACAATCCAAAATTCTTCGTAAAATCCTTAATTCTCCCTACTTTGTTACAAATATGACCATCCATAATGACCTTAATGTTCCTTATGTTTCAGATCTGGCCCAATCCAGATACCTATCCTTCCATAATAAACTTCAGAATCATCCCAACCCTCTCGTTTCTAACCTTGCTTCCTCTTCAATTCCTGATAACCCTCCGAGCCGTCTGAAAAGAAGATGGCCCCGTGATCTCCTAAAGTAGACATATCATTAGAGTGCTACCATTGGGTAGTTTCTCAGCAAGTGTTTTCACGTCATTATATCCATATGTTCTAATTTACTAAATGTATTTCTTTTATACAGTTTTAAATATCATTAAGAAATAAAAAAAGTGGAGTGGAACATACAGTGAAACCTATAAAACAAAATTTGTTTCATCATTAGCAAAAAAAAAAATAGCATGACTTCAGTAACACATTCAAAAATCAAAATCCAAAATAAATGGTATAACATTTGCTGTAGAACATATAAAAAACATCTAGAGACCATATCTTAGCTTCTAATTATCCGATTTTAACGATTTATTTTTTGTTTTTTTAGGAAATTTCGGAAACTTTTAAAACAACGTATCAATAAGTTTTTTGAGTTATTCGGAATCTTATTTTACTATTCCTCTTAACTTTTTTTCCAGTTTCTTTTCGTTGAAGTATGTTATACAGATACATTTAAAGGGCATCAAGAAGAAGACTTTAGACAAGTTTCATTGAAATCGGTACATTCGTTTAGGCACAGTACAGTCCATAGCAACGCAGGTTTTACGGCTGCCATTTTGAAAGCAAGAGGATAGTAATGTCGATGGAGGATCATCCTCGAGTGACCTCTGATTTTAAATATAAATTTGAAAAAAATCGGTCCAGTAGTTTCGGAGTAAATGCGCGAACAACGGACGGATAAAAAGATTTGTATTCGTTTTTCGAATTCTACTTATCCTAAAACGTAAAACCTCAAATTTTGAAAGAGGGTTAAGTTTTTGAATTTTTGGTTCGATTATAATGGTTCATTATTGAAATAATAAACCAAAAATTAACTTTTTCTCCACTTTTTGAAAATGAGAGATGTCCATATTTGATATGAGGCCTCTCATTTAACTACTTAATGCACATTAATTTATCACTTTATTCCAGTTGTAAATTAGAAAACAATGTTATATCTAATCTATGAGTATGAGACTAATTGACTTTTTTCGAATATGCAGTTTTCGATCATGTCCTATTGGCACGATTAAATAATCGATTTATGTCGATATCTGCTAGACCAGAATGACCTTGGAAGACAGCCACCCTCTGAGGATCTCCGCCGAAGAAGACGATGTTGTCCTTAATCCACTCCAGTGCAAGCAGTTGGTCCTTCGTAGTAATGTCAGTTTTGGTTTTGTCTCCAGGAGAGCCTAAAAAAAAAAAAAAAAAAAAAAAAAAAAAAAGGTAACAAGAAAAAACATTGTTGATTATTTACTTAAAAAAATAAACCTTGCAAATTATAGTAAACAATAGATTGAGTCATGTAATAATGAAAAGGGATAGTTATTTTTTTTTCACTTGTGATTATTTTTTAAAATAGATTCTATGGTCGATGTTTTGAGCCTTTGATCCGATTCCCGATATGCTTCTAAATAATTTTCTATTTCCTGATCAAATTATCTCAGGATTCAAGTGAAAAAAAAATGAGTGTTCAAAAGTTTTTAGTACTTCATTACATCGTCAAAGTTTACCGATCATCAAAATCGAGGATTTTCGCAAATAAAAAAGTTTTAGTTTACGAAAAAAAGGAGCCATTAAAGGAGTTTAGACGAGTGTTAATCAGAGAAGTAGAGTTTCCATTTTAATCGGGAGGACGATGTCCCAATCAAAATGGAACCTCCTTAATTTCAAATGGCGGAATTTCAGAAGTTAGCGGGTAAATATATATAAAATATTTTTAAAAAAATACCTGTACCACTACATCCCATGAAGGGTCATGAATTCAGTACTATTTAGGGAAAGCACTGTTTCTTGGTCTACGGTTGTGAAAGGAGGGGATTTGACCGAGATCACGCTCAACTACCAGGTTTTTCCAGTTAATTAATTATTTTAATTAAGGTTACCCACTTTATAGAGACTGGGTGGGTGTGCCCTAGAAGGGTCTACCTACCCAGGTTCGCTCCACGGCCAATGAAACAGAATAAATAATATTTCTGCCATGAGCCGGGATTCGAACCTGTGACGTTTATAGCATTGGGACCTCAGTACCCTACCACTGAGCTACCCCACTGCACTATGTTATATAATAGTCTTTTTTATTTGATTATCCAACGTTTCGAGCGAAATATGGCGAAAGTTCATATTATGTGTACAAATTCAACATATTTATTGTGAAGCTAACAAATATAATATTGGATATTTAAAAATAAATAAATATATATATATATATATATATATATATATATATATATAGACACTTGTAGGATTGTTGGATTAATAATATTTGTTTCATTTTGTTTAATAAAATAGGTACATGTTCAGCTAAAATGAATAATGTTAAAAACTTTTTTTTTTTTTTTTTTTATTATTTTAATGGAATTTACAACTGTATTACATAGAGAATACAATAAGTAAATGAGAAATTTGTAACATGGCATGTACAACATGAAGAGAAACTACCCATTGGTAGAACTCAAATTAAAGTTCTATATTAGAAGATCCCGAGGCCATCTTCTTTTCAGACGGCTCGGAGGGTTATCAGGGATCGAAGAGGAAGCAAGGTTTGAAATGAGAGGATTCGGATGGTTCTGCAGTTTGTTATGTAAGGATAGCTATCTGGATTGGGCCAAATCGGAAACATATGGAACATTAAGGTCTTTATGGATGATTTTATTTGTGACGAAGTAAGGAGCGTTGAGGATTTTACGAAGGATTTTGGATTGTAAGGATTGGATACGAGAGGAATTCGATGGTTTAGTGGAACCCCAAAGCTCAATTCCGTAAGTCCAAATAGGTCTTATTATTGTCATATATACGAGTCGTTTATAATTGATTGAAAGCTTAGATCGTTTTTCTGCAGGAGTCGAAAACGTCGGGCGGTTTCAATTCGTTTCAGTCTGGTATGGGGGTTCCATAATGTTAAAAACTAAAATATACTTTTGATTTCTTAGTTTTTATAACCTCCAAATAAAAATAAAACTTTTTCACAGCCTGAAAAGTTATGTAAAAATGTCTATAAAAGCATTCGCTATAAAATATATTTGTACTTGTATTATTGAATATATTTTTTCCAATTTTATCGCAGATAATTTATAAGAAAACCACGTGAAAATGGAGGTGCCCAGATGAAAGATGAATGAATCATAAAATCCAAGTATACGTTTCTACATTATTATTTCTGATCGAAAATGAAAATTTAAATAATAGAAATATTTAGGTCGTGATAAAATAGTTGCTTATAAGCCTTAGCATGTCCGACTTTTCTTACTTTTTTAATCGATTTTAGTTTATACATATTTTATTCATTCAGCTTATTTGTTATCAGTTTTAATTATTTTTTTAATTTAAAATTATTGTGGAGGGGGGGGGATGAAACGATATTTCGACCTCTCAACATTTTTATTGAAGTGGACGATTGGTTCCCTCGCTACACCCTCTTTCCACCCCCTCCCCCCCCCAAGTCTACGCCTATGGCGTTAATTAATTAATAAAAATTGGTCTGTTTCACGACCTACTATAAATGGAATTCCGAGAACGAGTATTGACAACGTGATCACAATATAATCTCCTTTTATTTGGGCCACAATTTACGATTTCGAAAAACTCCTAACTGATCCTTTTCATTTAAAATGGAGGCGTTGATTAGCTTTAACTACGTCATTGCTTTTGAATTTTGTGACCTTACTTGACAGTTCGGTCATTTCCGCCTACCTTCGGACATTCTCGGAATCCCATTTATAGAATGATCAGTTGTGATCTTACATCAAAGTGGAGCAACAATTGTAAATTAATACCCAATAAATTATTTCCATCAGATATATGAAAGATATCAATAAAATTACTTTTCTTATTATTTTAGCAGTTGCTTAAAAAAAAAGTTTTGATTTTCTTTAGTGCATCTTTTACTTTGTATTATCAATATATGACATGTATCAATATAATCAATGATATATTATGTCAACATTTATGGTGACATTATTATATGAACCGGTTACTTCCAAAGTGAACGACAGGAACCCGGTTAACCAAAAGACCATGGCGGGCAAATACGCGTTACGATTTTTGGGGGTTTGGTCTGGAGAGAAAAGTGATATAAATTTCATTATAAAAAAAATACCTTTAATTTACATTAAAATTAACTTATTTTGAATTTCCATAATAATAAAATGATTGAAAAAGCTTTTATAAATTATTTTTTAATTTATGTATTATTTAATTCATCCACTAACTATATCATACATTTCTTGAAAGAAAAAAAAATCGGGTTTGAGAAAAAAATTTGTTTTTACACCATTTTTTTAAATAGAGAGGTCTGTTTTGAAAAATACTAAAATAATATTAATGTTATTTTAAAGAAATATATTATTTAACTAATGAATAATATTAAAAGGCTTAGTGAAACCGAAGGTTCGATGCTGAAACCACTAATCACTGTCTACCTAACCACCGGTCGCCGTGCAAACTCAACCTTACCAGATCAATCTTAATATAATCCACCCACATTCGCTTCGCTCTACCCTTCGTCCGTTTACCAGTTGGCACAGCAATTAATAATTTTAGAAATGCTTTCTAAGCCCAACAATTTTGTATGCCCATTTTATTCTCCGCAATGTAATAACTTCAATTGAATTCGGTCCAATATTCTACGCAATACATTATTTTCAAAAGCCTTAACACGTTTTTCATCCCCTATTGTAAACGGCCACGTTTCTCATTCATAAAGAACTGTAGGTAAGATAGAGATTTTGTAATTATTTTTTTTTTTATCTTTAACCGCACCTGTCATGGTATTGACAATCAGCAGATGTGTTCTGATGGTGAGGATTGCCAATGTATGCATGAGGAGGGATAGTACCCAGAAGTACTTCCTGGTCATTATTTACTTCCTCGATTTAGGTGAGGAGATCTCTCATCCAGCTCCTTTTTAATCTCCTCCTGATGGGCATGTCAGTCGTAGCCATGTCGTTTATAAGTCTGTTTGTGTGTCTGTGTAGTTTGAGATGAAAACGAGAGTAGAGAGTACGTATGTGTTGGTCTATAGTTGGTTGTCGTAAGTCGTTATGTAATGTTTTGTTGTTGACGTACCAGGAAGCTCCTGTTGTAAATTATAATTTTTAATTTTAAGAGTAGTATGTATGAGTTAAGTAGTATTGTCACAGAAAAAAATAACAAGCCTTTCCCTAATTCAACCTGACTTTAATTTCGGTTTTTCTACTTATCGTAGACCCTATTTACCTAAACTACTCAAATTGTTGAAATATAGTTTCATATACCTAGATATTAACGAAATTGTCACCGCTTTTGTGACTAACCATATATTTCATTTCATCTGTATTTATTTCGAGACCTAGCTTTCATTGATGTTGTCTTATATAATTTTGATTTTTCCGTTTCTTTGCTTAACACAACCAAATCAACAGCACAATTAGCCAAGGATATTGTTCCACTCAGATTCAAATATTATTACACATTTCCTTCCTAATTGCATATTCTAATGAGGTTCAGATTCGTTTAGAAAAAACTAAATTCTTTGGTTTAGACCACATGCGAGAAATAAAAACATCAACAAGGCGAGATTAATAATAAGAAATATAAATTATAAATAATTATCCATTATATTAAGGATGAAATGCTGAACTATTCCCTCAGTTACAGTATGGAGGACCGATTTTTAGTTTCTGATATATTTTATTCCAAATCTTTAAGAATACTCGCTATAATTTGGTATTTAACACTATTTTTTTCCTTTTTCACCTCTCTAACACGGCTTCATGTAAAGATAAAATTTTTAATAATAGCTCATTACATTGAGGATTAAATGATGAACATTTCGCTAACAATATGCATGTCCAATTTTTAGTTTTTGAGATATTTTAATTCATATGCAAATACACTGCCATTAGTCGACTTTACTCGAGTTTCACACATCGGAAATTTGATATCTCAATGTAATACAATATTCACAAAAAAACTGCAAAACGTGCCTAAATATGTTTTCTCTACAAAAATAAAATTTCACCATTGTATTAATTGGATACATTGGAATCGATACTTATCACACTTTCCAAAATGATCGATTAGGATTAACTTAGGAAATGAGTGACTAATATGACTGACTGTTATATTAAATTAAATAGTAACTAAAAAATGTAATCAAGTTATGATTTTCTTTAATGCTCTTTTGAAATAGCCTATTTTGTGTTTTGGAAGA